ATTTTGGGGTCTTGTTATTGTAAAAAACAAATTGACGTCAGTTTTTTATGCGTCTGTCCTCTTATTGACTAGACTAGACTAGACTAGATTAGACTAGACTAGATTAGACTAGACTAGATTAGAAAGCTGGGGGTTGTGTATAAAATAAAAGAAAGACCTAATAACAATGTAATAATAAGGGGTAGGCATAATTATACTTTTTCGTGTATTGAGCGCTGGGAAATCACGAGCTCTGCAAGAGGTGGAGGTTCAGTGCTTGTGTTTGTAGTATGTACGATGGATTGTTGACCATTATCCACACACGGAAGTACCGCTGCCAGCTTTTCTCCAATCGTTGCAAAATATGAATTCATTAGACTGGCTTTCTCCTCGTCAGTCAGCGCAAGACTGCCGTCGTCTCTTTTGAGAGGGCCGATGCTCTTGTGCTCCGTTGGATTTATCGCTTTATTGAGTAAGTTCTATTAAGTGCTAGTTTCATGTCTTGACTTCTGTGAACATTTTGGAGAAGTATGTGGCTTTGGCTTGCCTTAGAGCCGACGTAACCTCATTTCTAGCTTGCTTGTACTCTTGGCGCAGCTTGAGGCATTTAGATGAAACTGCTGCCTTGAATAGCTTATACCTCCGGTTCATTTTATAGCGGATAGCATTGGTGATCCACGGTGCTGATGTGCTTCCAAATGTGACTTCTTTCAATGGGGCGTGTTCATCGCAAATAATATTGAATAAGTGCTGCCAAGCCCATAAGACATCGTCCACGTCTTCAAAAACCTGTGAGATGTGAAAAGGCGCCGTTTCGATGTCGTATCTGAATTTGTCATCATCCAATCTTTTATAGTCTCTCGTTCTTATGTACTTCGGTGGAGGTCTTTTGTTCTTCAAGCGTAAAGTAAAATCTTGTATTTAAAACACGATTATCGTTTAAGCACTACATGCATGAGGGGTCGTGTATCTAATTAATTATCTAATTTTCTAATTACCTACTGATAAAATGAATGAAATATAAGAAATTAACTTACTTTATCGCAAATCTGATTTCCCTAAATATCGGACTGGATTTTGCCTAGCGTAGTGTTGCATATATGAAGTTGTGATCGGAAATGCCCAGTGGGAATACGTCCGTGGAATTAACAAGGTCTTTTCTTGTGGTTACAATAAGTTCTATCAAAGTACGTGACTGTAACGTTGTTGTCGTGGCCTTCCGTACGATGTTTTGCATATTGAACATGTCAAAGACTGAACGTAGTTTTTCACTGTTCCTACTCAACGACGACAGAAGACCGTTCAAATCATCTCCCATAGAAAAACCGCAGTTGAAATCACCCAACAAGGCGATGTTTGACGATTTCAACTAGGTCTTTTCGAGCGGGCATCTGAGGAGATTGAAGAATTCATTATCATCTGGTTGCCTATACATAACTGAAAATAAGACTGAGGTGCTAGGGAATTTGACTTGCAGCCAGATCGCTTCAAGGCTTTTAATAATCAAATATTTTCGATGTGTTGATTGAAATGTTCCGCAGTACAGAATGAATTTTCATGTGAAAGTGCTATTCTAAATTTCCTTCTTAATAGAACATCTGAAGAAGTACCCCAAATGAGAGCTAAAAAGATGATGGTGCCCGTCTTTCTACTTACTACTTGGGTCACTCAAAAAGTAACTTTTGTTTTGTTTTTTCAGATGACATCCCGCCTGGATATGTATGCCAAGTCTTTGACTGAGGCTATAAAACCAGACTACAAACAACAGATAATTCACGATGAAGCTTGAACAAGACAAGGACTCCACGGCGTGCAGTGATTTTGTACCCAGAAAAGAATTAAGTCACTAATTTAATAGTATAGACCGCATTGAAATTTACTCTACGTCGTTTGTTTGGTTCGTGCGCGTGATTCTTGGAAAACGAAGGTAGTAACAATCGATAAGTAAAGATGAAACAAATTTTCCTCGCTACTGTGAAGGAAAATGAAAATCAACGAGTAGTTGGAATAAATTTAAAATTCACAAGAGTACGCTGAAAGTAAACCATAGGTCTGTAGAGTGTAAAATAGGCAATCATTTTTTAATAAAAGTAGTTCAATTGCATCCCTTTTTGTTTGCCTCTCTGGGGTTTTGTTCTTGTCGTTTTTCCCTTGGATGGACCTCTGAGAAGTCCATTTTGTGGAAATACAGTCAACTCGCGCCTTGCGAACAACCCGCTATTATGGACAAAAGCTACATCCCCGGCCGAACTACAAAGACATGTATGGAAATAACTCCCGTTATCACTTCAAGTGGTCCCAAACCAACAGACAGCTCGACGTATTGAATGGCAACTAATCTGCAGTGTTGGAATGTTCACTAGTTTGTTCACTTTTTTGACCTATGTTACATGTTTATGTATAAAAATAAATGTATACTACAGATTAAAAGAAAATGGAATTATTGAAAGAGTTTTCAGAACCAAAAACTGCGTCATTTCCATGACACCCCGCTATTGTGGTCTATTGTGGACTCTCGCTATGACGGAAACTAAATGACGATCCCGAGGGTGTCCGCTAAAACGAGAGCTGTGATCGAAATCGTAATTTCGATGATTTCTTCTTCTCATGGGTTTCAACATATCCCGGCCTCCCCTCCCTCGCATAGTAAAGGTGAATCTGTGTATTTGCCTCACCCACCACCCCCAATCCCCCGCCAAATTTGATATCTCGTATCGTAGAGACTTTTGGGATAGCACAATGTTGCCATGGTAAACAAAGATGGCGGAAGGACTTGTGAGAAGTTCGAGAAAGACTCCAACTAAGTTTGACAATGGATTCGAACCGACTTTTGACTCCGATGGAGCTCCTTCTTGTCTGTCTTGGAAAATTGACGATGTCGCTGATTGGGTGGAGTTTTTAGGGTTCCAACAGTACCGGGTAAGACAAAAATCGAGTTATTTATTTTTTCAAACTAGTGCCCTGATGCCCTTCATTGAGCGCGCATGTCGCACTTTGAAAACGCTTTCTGTCGTGTTCACGAACTAAATTGACCAGTCATTGGATTCACGTTTATTCATTTAGTTCGAAATATCAATTTCCTATTTGTAATGTGTGCATGCTACATCTACGATTCTTTCTTCTTTGTAGAAAACTATTATTGTCGATCCAACGTAGCTGTCTGAAAGACCTCAATCCCAGGAACACCTTCACTTACTCATCCCTGAAGCGTAATTGGCGAATTATTTTTGCTTCAAGTTCCAATTTTATCCCATTAACGTATCATATTACGTTCCTGTGCGCACACAGGCACACAAAATTAACCCAGCATTTGAAATAATAATAAAATGTACATAAACGGGAGGAGGGGTGGTGGGGGGAGGGGAGAGAGGCTGGCTCCGCCCCGAGGTCCAACCTCTTACCCTTTTGTACACCATGCAAACAGAAAAGATACCTTTTTGTATACCTTTTATTAAAACAAGTACCCCTTTCACATTCCCACTTAACAACACTGCATCCCTTTTTTTAAACTCTTGGAATGAAGTTAACCCTTAAACTGGCAAATTTCCTCAAAAAATGCTGTTTTTACGGTTAACTCGGGTTTTTGGCTGCCCTGACCCTGAATTGGCCTCAGCCTTGCTAAAAAAAAAGCAATTTCTTACCGAGGAGCAAGATTTCCCTGAGGTTTAGGTACCAAAATGCACAATGTTTTGCTTTGGAGCATGTGCATAAGCCAAAAATTGAACTGGCTTTGTTTTTTTTGGCTGGCCTGGTCTGATTTTTATTTTTTCAGATGACATCCCGCCTGGATATGTATGCCAAGTCTTTGACTGAGGCTATAAAACCAGACTACAAACAACAGATAATTCACGATGAAGCTTGAACAAGACAAGGACTCCACGGCGTGCAGTGATTTTGTACCCAGAAAAGAATTAAGTCACTAATTTAATAGTATAGACCGCATTGAAATTTACTCTACGTCGTTTGTTTGGTTCGTGCGCGTGATTCTTGGAAAACGAAGGTAGTAACAATCGATAAGTAAAGATGAAACAAATTTTCCTCGCTACTGTGAAGGAAAATGAAAATCAACGAGTAGTTGGAATAAATTTAAAATTCACAAGAGTACGCTGAAAGTAAACCATAGGTCTGTAGAGTGTAAAATAGGCAATCATTTTTTAATAAAAGTAGTTCAATTGCATCCCTTTTTGTTTGCCTCTCTGGGGTTTTGTTCTTGTCGTTTTTCCCTTGGATGGACCTCTGAGAAGTCCATTTTGTGGAAATACAGTCAACTCGCGCCTTGCGAACAACCCGCTATTATGGACAAAAGCTACATCCCCGGCCGAACTACAAAGACATGTATGGAAATAACTCCCGTTATCACTTCAAGTGGTCCCAAACCAACAGACAGCTCGACGTATTGAATGGCAACTAATCTGCAGTGTTGGAATGTTCACTAGTTTGTTCACTTTTTTGACCTATGTTACATGTTTATGTATAAAAATAAATGTATACTACAGATTAAAAGAAAATGGAATTATTGAAAGAGTTTTCAGAACCAAAAACTGCGTCATTTCCATGACACCCCGCTATTGTGGTCTATTGTGGACTCTCGCTATGACGGAAACTAAATGACGATCCCGAGGGTGTCCGCTAAAACGAGAGCTGTGATCGAAATCGTAATTTCGATGATTTCTTCTTCTCATGGGTTTCAACATATCCCGGCCTCCCCTCCCTCGCATAGTAAAGGTGAATCTGTGTATTTGCCTCACCCACCACCCCCAATCCCCCGCCAAATTTGATATCTCGTATCGTAGAGACTTTTGGGATAGCACAATGTTGCCATGGTAAACAAAGATGGCGGAAGGACTTGTGAGAAGTTCGAGAAAGACTCCAACTAAGTTTGACAATGGATTCGAACCGACTTTTGACTCCGATGGAGCTCCTTCTTGTCTGTCTTGGAAAATTGACGATGTCGCTGATTGGGTGGAGTTTTTAGGGTTCCAACAGTACCGGGTAAGACAAAAATCGAGTTATTTATTTTTTCAAACTAGTGCCCTGATGCCCTTCATTGAGCGCGCATGTCGCACTTTGAAAACGCTTTCTGTCGTGTTCACGAACTAAATTGACCAGTCATTGGATTCACGTTTATTCATTTAGTTCGAAATATCAATTTCCTATTTGTAATGTGTGCATGCTACATCTACGATTCTTTCTTCTTTGTAGAAAACTATTATTGTCGATCCAACGTAGCTGTCTGAAAGACCTCAATCCCAGGAACACCTTCACTTACTCATCCCTGAAGCGTAATTGGCGAATTATTTTTGCTTCAAGTTCCAATTTTATCCCATTAACGTATCATATTACGTTCCTGTGCGCACACAGGCACACAAAATTAACCCACAAAATTAACCCAGCATTTGAAATAATAATAAAATGTACATAAGCGGGGGGAGGGGAGGGAGGCTGGCTCCGCCCCGAGGTCCAACCTCTTACCCTTTTGTACACCATGTAAACAGAAAAGATACTTTTTTTGTATCCCTTTTATTAAAAAGGGTACCCCTTTCACATTCCCACTTTAAAACAACACTGCATCCCGTTTTTTAAACTCTTGGAATGAAGTTAACCGTTAAACTGGCAAATTTCCTCAAAAAATGCTGTTTTTACGGTTAACTCGGTTTTTTGGCTGCCCTGACCCTGAATTGGCCTCAGCCTTGCTAAAAAAAAAAGCAATTTCTTACCGAGGAGCAAGATTTCCCTAAGGTTTAGGTACCAAAATGCACAATGTTTTACTTTGGAGCATCTGCATAAGCCAAAAATTGAACTTGCTTTGTTTTTTTTTTTGCTGGCCTGGTCCGATTTTTTTTCCCTGCCCTTTTCCTTTCCTTTTTCTCACCCCGTTTACTCTTGCTAGCTTTTGCTCTTCATATCCTTTCTGACAGCCCTAGAAAGCTCAGCGTTAATTATGTT